CCTCCCCAGAAGGATCATGCAGAGCCAAAACCAACACTCTGATGCCACAATGAACCACAGCCTTTATCCATCTCCCGTTGCTCTGGCAAAGCTGGGCAGCCCTGGGCAGCCAGGCAGCGCCAGGCCCTGCGGGCACTTACTGCCGTCTGTGCCCGTCAGCCGGGCCAGTTTGACGAAGGAGCGGGACTGGGCGGGCCCGGGGCAGGCTGCCAGTCCTCAGCATCCTCTATCAGCCGCAGCTTCACAGGGTCGTACACGGGGGTGCTGGGGGGCTCCAGCGCCTGCGGGGGCTGCCTGCGAGTGACGGAGTCCTCTGTCAAATCCGACAGGTGACCAACTGCAGCATCACCCCCGTGGTGGGTGCCCCACAGAGAACCGAAGCACATCAGAAGCACACCAGTCCCTGAGACAAGTTGACTTACTCCCCACACCCCCTGTTCCTCCTCCTCTATGTAGGAAGGGCCCGTTAATTACTGACGTGGGACTGACCACTGTTTCTGGTGGCCCAAGACTAGCCCCAAGGAGAAAAGACGGGACAAGAATAAGCCATCAAAATCACCATCAGGAAACGAGCATTAGAGCTCGTTGAACACCCACAGTGCTCATGGCGGTGCTGTCTGCCTGCCTGGCCTTGGGCAGGGTGCCCAGCACAGCCCAGCAGTCCTCGCCCAGTTGAGCCACGTCTCAGGGAGAAAGGAAGGGACCACATGTGAGGCCACTCCAGGGCCTCAGAGATAGGCAGCACTCGCTTTTCAGGCTAGGGGCAGCTTGCTGCCAGAGTGACCCACCCGCACAGGCAGAGCAGTGTGTGCTGCCTGTCCCCAGAGAACGGGGCGCTGGCAGGGGAGAGGCATGCAGGGAGGACAGAGAGAGCAGGCAAAAGGCTTACTGACTTGTCAAGGACCACATGTGAGGCCACTCCAGGGCCTCAGAGATAGGCAGCACTCGCTTTTCAGGCTAGGGGCAGCTTGCTGCCAGAGTGACCCACCCGCACAGGCAGAGCAGTGTGTGCTGCCTGTCCCCAGAGAACGGGGCGCTGGCAGGGGAGAGGCATGCAGGGAGGACAGAGAGAGCAGGCAAAAGGCTTACTGACTTGTCAAGGCTCAGCACCTGTAGGGAAGAGGGAAATTTAAAGGGAAGAGAGAAAGAAAGAAAAAGGAAGGTGAAATTAGACCTGCAGCACCTAGGAAATTTCCAGAGCTCACCAGCCCCCTAGCCTGAGATTCATGCCCAGCTTGCCCAGGGCTGGGAGCACACTGGGACACAGGGGCACATGCCAACAGACTAGACCATGCCTCCCTCAAAACAGGCCTGGGTGTCCAGTGCCGTCAGTGCTGCATCCCCCCTGTGCCCAGTTTCAGGATGCCAGAGCAGCTCTCGGCAGGCTGGGCAGGGACTGGCAGCCTGCAGAGGTGGGAGCTTTGCCCCTGCAAGCAGAGTGGGGACAGTGCTCCATGGGGTCCGAGGGCTCCCCTTTGCCCAGCCTGTCCCAGCAGCCAAGGAACCAGCGAGAGGTCCCTGGGCCGGCGCTGGCTGGTGGCCACACCAAAGCCACGCTTCCCTGCCACTGCAGACGCCGGCAAGCGTCCTGCTGTGACTGCCGTGCTGTGCCCCGTGGGACTCCCCATGGGCCGACAGGTCCTCAGGCACAGGACCAGCACACGTGTGTGGCTGTGCCTCCATGCGTGACAATCCTGTCGTGCCACCTCAGCACCAGCCGTTAGGGCACCTGGCATGGGCACTGTTGCCCTCTCCCACTCACAAGTGCCTGGCATGCAAGGCGCAGCAGGGCCGGGCAGGAGGCTCCCCCCAACCCTTGGGGAGCAGGACAGACAGCAACATACCCGTTGTGCTGGGGGGTGCAGGTGGGCGCCAGGGGCACGTACGTCACAGGTTTCGTCACCAGCCCGGGCCGTGGGTTCGGAGGCGAGCTGGCCCCAAAGGGCCGAGCTGTTTTGTTGAGGGCAGTGCTGGGAGCGAAGTTATATTTCAGGGGTTCAGAGCAGGGGAGTGAGTCCTGAGCGAGACAAAACACACAGACATGGGCTCACACGTCAAGCAGCATGCAAGGGGCAGCCCCGGGCCAGGCAGCACAGCAGGCAGCGAGGTAGGAAAACTGGACAGCACGTGCACCTCGGATACCAGGCTCTGCCAGGCTGGCAGCTCTCTCTGCAGGGCACCCAGCCCAGCGACAGCAGGTCACAAGCCTGGCCCGAGGGTCACCGGAGGATTAGTAAGTGCCCCGGCCACTCGCTGCTGCCCGCAGCAGGGCGGTACACGCACACGCTGGTGGCAACCGCCCCGTGGCACAAAGCTGAATGCATGCAGGTGGCTTCCATTCAGGAGCCACAGGTCACTGGCCCCAGCCCTGCCTCCCCGTGCCAGGGCACACCCCAGCACCAGCAAACATGGGGCCCCGAGGCTGTGCTGCGGCTGCCCGGCCTCCTCCTGGTGTTGGCCCCCCTGCACCCCTGCCTGCGGGGGCACAGACAGGCAGGGGCTGGGGCCCGGGCACCCGCTGGGCAGACCCTGCTCCCTCTGATCCCCTGTAGCGCCAGGGGTCAGAGCTGCTCCTCCAGCAGGGAGTTTCCCAGCCCTCCACACACATCCCGGTTCCCCAGGAGCAAAGTCCATTTGTTCATCTACACTCAGAGACTCCCCTCGCCTAAGACGAGGCCGAGCTGGCGCTGCAGCATCAGGAGCGACACGACACGTACCTTCTGTGGCTTCCCCAGGTGGTTCTGGGCTCTGCAAGAGAGGAGACAGCTGGGCAGGTGCTGGAACTGGCCCAGCCTCCACCGTGACGCTGGAATCCCAGTGATGCAGCACCCACCCGAGGGGAATCACAGCCAATTAGCGCTGTCCTACGTCTTGCAGGTGAGGGCTGGCAGCCAGGCTAAGGCTCACCCAGCCAAGCAGAGCCCTTGGACTCAGCCAGGGACCACCAGGCTCCAAGCAAGGAGGGGTGATACCAGGAAATTGCGATACTGGGAGATGGCACCGGGCATAGGGCCCCAGCTCTGCTCTGGCCAGGTTTGGTCCTTCTGTCAGGACCCCAGGTTTGCAGGACCCTCAAGCTCCTACCTGCTCAGGGTGAGGCTGAGCCTGTCCCCACAGGCACGGATCCTGTTCTGGGCCTCAATATGCGTCATGGAGCTGGTGCTCTCCCCGTCGATGTACAGCACCCAGTCGCCCACTCCCACACCAGCCTGGGCTGCCTTCCCTCCCGGCGTCAGCTGCGGGACAGACAGACGGAGTCAGGGAGAGCCGGGCAGCGAGGCAGGGGCGGAGGGAAGCCCTCGTCCTCATGAGAGCAGGGATCTACCGGGGCCCAGGCTCCCTTGTGCCAGGCCCTGCCCAGCACCAAACACCCGAACAGGTCTGACCCAGAGGTGAGGGATGCCTGGATCACCCCATTTCCCAGCGCATTAGCCCAGAGCAGCCTCTTACTCTCCGGGGCAGGGGAGTGCCCAGAGGACTGCCCAGCCCTTGCCCCTGGCAGGGCCAGGCCCGTTCCAGTGCCCCTGGCCCCGTCCCCGTCATGCTGAGCGGTGGAGGCAGTGCTGGCTCAGCCTCGGCAGGGAGCCCGCCCACCCCTCGGAGCCATCCCCGCGGTCCTGGGGCGGGAAGGGAGCACACTGAGTCAGGGCCCACGTCTCGCTGCAAACCACAGGCACGTCCAGCACTTCGCCTGGGGTGAGGCAGGGGACAGGGCAGGCATCCCCCGGGCGCTCCCCCCTGTCCCATTCTCCTCCCGGCAGACGTTACCTCATCCCCACAGAGGAGCCGGAGCCCCCCTGGGGCAGGGAGAAACCGGGCC